CATGAACGGGAAATTTTTCAAGAATGATTTAAAAATATTTTCGCAACAAGATTGCCAGATTACAAAATATGAAAACAAAAGCGCAAATTGAGTGTAACAAGAGGAATTTAAAGTGCCGTTAAAAACTTTTTTTTGAGTGCTCCTCACACTATTGTATTAATATATTTTGCTTTGGCTATATTGATACAATATCAGAAAGCACTCTTTTTTGCGGATATAATCGTGTAGGCTGATGAAAAGATTATATCTTTTATTTTCCGGTTTCTTTAAAAAAATTTCATCATTTTTTTTTAATCAGTTGTTTGCTATTTTTCTTTCATTATAATTCCCCCCCCCATTTCATATGTCTATAATTTTCCTTTGTTTTATCTTCATTTGAATATATATATATATATATATATATATATACACAACACACACTTAGATGGTTTATCGTGATATTTGAAAAATTGTATTTGAAAAATTCCAAATGAACTGAAACATCAAATCAATACTTAGAAATTTTAAAACAATGTTTGAGGTAGGCAGAAAGATAAGTACACATGTTTTGCATAAAATATTCAGAACTAATCAGTTATCTGTAGCATCGCTGTGATTTTCAACACCTGCAATTTCGCTTTTAATCAATCGTTTGTCACAATTTTATACACGTCTTTCTCAGGTACGATTATAGGAACGGTAAGTCCAAACTGTTCTTTTTATATTTAAATTTTATTTAATAAGTTCAGTTTTAAAAATAGAATGTTGCTCGCTATTGTTTTGCATGAGGAAAAACTATAAATATACTGGATATACAAATTATTTTCATCTTAATACGTATTTAAATAATTTAATGTCTAGCAGAAGTAACTTCTTTCTGTGACTTTAACTTATGCAGATTATAAAACTAATAGCAATTTTTTTTTTTTTTTTTGCATCGCATTTATTCATAAAGATGCAAATAAATAAGTGAAGAAACGAGAGTTTTGAAGTAAGGAGAACAAATTCAAGAGCTTTAGGAGAAAATATTGGAAATTTTTGAAGAAAAAAAAAGTTTTCTTCCAAGGAACTTTCAATATCTTATTTAGAAGTTGCCAGCCAGTTTTTTGTTTATTAACATTCATGGTACTTTACTTAGACCCTATCGCAATTTTATTTTCGCTAAAAAAAAATTGCCTCAATGTTAGAAATTGTCATAATTTATGAGTAACTTGTATTCATTATTTCAAATTTATTTGCTTACAAAAGTTTCGGATGATTAAAAATTTATTTCTATCTCTTTCTTGTCTGGATATATTCCTTGCAATTCGGAACGTTCGTTACCATAATCCTTCACTCAAATCAATTTTTTGAATTGAATTATATTTCTTAACAAATTTTTTTTATTTGTTTTGAATGAATATTATGTTCAGCAGTTTTATTCCCTTATGGCAATTTTATAAATTCAAAATAAAATGATGACAAAAATAGGCGAAAATACTAAATTTTTAAAGTTTCAATTGCTTAGCTCCAATTTTAAATTTGGCACGACAGTCTAATGTGAGCCAATCCATTCTGTTACCTTGTTCTGATTTTGTCTCATTTTGACCAGGATTGCCAGTTCCATGTTCTGTATTGCCATCATTCACTCTGACTTTTTTTTTTGGTCTATTTAAGAGATAATTACCATAAATACAGGATGTTCCGCAATTACTCTCTTCATTATATATTTTTAGAATCTTTATTCAAATTGAAGTTTTAAAAAAAGTATGCTTTAGTGATCATAAACTGACATTTAAGAGAAAAAAAGGATGTCAAGGAATCACTATTGAAGATGGTGATTTTAACAACATCAAAGCCTGCTTGAGGAAAAGGAGAGTAATTGAAAGGCGACTCTTAGAAGTAATAAGCTTTATGTTGTAATCAAATAGGTTTTAATGCATTTTATCCCGTTTTCCTCAATAGTGATTTGTCATAGATTTTTTTTTTGTTAATAATCGAAAACAGTTTACAATTGCAGATGTGTTTACTTTACTGACTTCATGTTTCAAAAAGATGCCAAAAGGCATTAAAGGCGATTATTATGGAACACCCTTCGTGTGATCAACGAAAATGTCTATCAGCCCTTACAAAGAAACTAAAGTATTTTTAAGGTTGAGCGATGTAAAAAATACCCCTGAGGTAGAAAATTAGGTTAAGTTTCACATTAAAAATAACCTCAATAATAAACCTCAGTTTCAACCTGATTTACACCTCATAAAACTCAGCAATACTTTTAGTTGAGATTAGGTGAAATTATTCACACCTGAAATATACTTACTAGCTTGAAGTGTACAAAAAATAGCCTGTACACCTACTTCAAAAATAACCTCCCTAAGCCGGTTGCTTTAAAGGTTTCCAACAACCTCAAAACAGCCTCAATTGTAATTAAAACATCTTCATACACTTTGATTGTACACCTTGAGAGGCTGATCTTTTAATGTTATTTTTAAAAACAACTTCAAACAAACCTCAAATCAACCTTGACAGCTCAAAACAACCTCAAGTAATCCTCAAAAACACCTTAAATTTTAGTAAGGGAGTGTTGAAATTTTAAAATAATTTATGTCAGATAATTAATGTCAAAAAACTGAAGCTATTATTTCTTTTACTCGTCAAGCTCAGCCTGATCATGCAGTTATTAGTCTCTCTTCTTTTCCCATTGCTGTTTTTGACAGCTTCTGTAAAAGCCTCCTGTCCATCTGCAGAGTCGGTGTCTCCTTGTGAATGTGAACAGCAGGAGGATGAAGATGCTATAGACTTAATTTGCTATGGAGAAAGTATCACCTTGGATCAGCTGAAATC